AGAAAAATGGTACAGGTGAACCGGTTTGCTGGGCAGTAGTTGAGACACAGATGTAGAGAACAAACGTATGGACACCAAGGCAGGAAAGCCGCGGGGGGTGGGGTGGGGATGGTGGTGAGATGAATTGGGTGATTGGGATTGACATGTATACACTGATGTGTATAAAATTGATGACTAATAAGAACCTGCTGTATAAAAAATAAATAAAATAAAATTCAAAATTTAAAAACAAAACAACTAATACGAAACTTCCTTTGGGTTATTTGTATGGATATATGTTAATATAAATGTTTCAGACATTACATGAAATTCCTAAAAATCTTATATATTCTGGTATAATGTTAGCAGTCATAATTCTAGTTATTATTTTAAAATGTATATCTCAGAAATAACTAAATTTCCTTGTCAATTGCATTATTATGAACTTTCATCAAATCTTTAACCGTGGTCATTTTTAAGTCTTTTGTCATTTACAGACAGTTCTGGGTGTACTCTGATGCTTTTGCAAAAATGTTCCTATAAAAGTGTTTCATCTTCTAGGAATTCATGGAAAAGACTCTGACAAGCACAGGTTTCTGGTAACTGACTATACTGCTGAACTGAATGAATAAGCATTTTCTGAACTCTAATGGAAAACTGATGAATTCATAAAAGTGCTAACAAAAGATCAAGATAAAAAAATTAATTACATGGGACTGAGTGAACTGATGAGGATGATTATAATTTTTGTGACTTGCTGTTTGAATAAAAAAAAAAAAAAGAACTGTTAATGATGAAAACTTACTATGCCATGGCTTGGAAATTTAGTTTCAGAGGCTTTTGTGAATATACCAAGGAAAGAGGGCCTAGATGTATCTTATTCCCACAGACCGCCAATAAATATCTGCTTAACGGAGAAAAAATTAATATATAGTATAGGAAAGAACCTGACAGATGCTTAACATTATTGAGTGATAGCAATGCCCAAACTCATCTGTGATCAAACACTATGAAGTATCCTCCTAAGGATAAACTTATTACAAATAAGAAGTGAAAATTCAATTATGGAGATGCTTTCAGTTTCAGCTCTGATATGCAAAAACTTGGAAGTTGTTACAGTATCTTGTCCTTACAAGATAATGCTGTACAAAATGAAAATCAATGACTTTTCTCAGACGTGATTAATAAAACATGTAACTACGAAAGAAAAAACAAAATAGGTGTAGGGTTTCCCTGGTGGCGCAGTGGTTGAGAGTTCGCCTGCTGATGCAGGGGACACGGGTTCATGCCCCGGTCCGGGAAGATCTCATGCCACGGAGAGGCTAGGCCCGTGAGCCATGGCTGCTGAGCCTGCGTGTCCGGAGCCCGTGCTCCGCAACGGGAGAGGCCACAACCGTGAGAGGCCCGCGTACCGCAAAAAAAAAAAAAAAAAAAAAAAAGGTGTATAGTGGTACCTCATGGTTTTAATTTTCATTTCCCTAATGACTAATAATGTTAAGCATCTTTTCTTGTGCCTTATTTACCACCATATATCTTCCTTACTGATGTATTTGTTCAACTCCTCTGCCTGATTTACAAATGATATTTTTGTTTTCTAATTGCGTTCTAAGAGTTATTTACATATTCTTGATACAAGTCCTTTATCACACATATGATTTGCAAATACTTTCTCTAAGTCTGTGGCTTGTCTTTCATTCTTTTAAAAGTGTCTTTCAAAGAGAAGTTTTAACTTTGATAAAGTCCGGTTGATCAGTTTTGCCTTTTCTGAACCATGCTTTTGGTGTCATATTTAAGAAGTTTTTGCCCAACTCAAGGCCATGAAAGTTTTCTCCTAGGAGTTTTATAGTTGTAGATTTTTTTTTATTATTATTTTTTAGCGGTACTCGGGCCTCTCACCGCCACAGCTCCTCCCGCTGTGGAGCACAGGCTCCGGACGCACAGGACCAGCGGCCATGGCCCATGGGCCCAGCCGCTCTGAGGCATGTGGGATCCTCCCGGACCAGCGCACGAACCCGCATCCCCTGCATCGGCAGGCGGACTCTCAACCACTGTGCCACCAGGGAAGCCCTAGTTGTAGATTTTGCATTTGATTTTATGATCCATTTTAAGTTAATTTTTGTGTATGGTACAAGGTATGGTTTGAAGTTCTTGTTTTGGTTTGTTTATTTTTTTGTTTTTGGCACATGCCTATCCTGTTATGCCAGCACCACTTGTTGAAAGGCTATCCTTTCTCCACTAAATTGTCTTTACACCTTTGTCAAAAATCCTTTGTCCATATATGTGTGCCATATGTGTGTGGGTTAGTTTCTGGACTTGCTATTCTATTCCGCTGATCTATTTGTCTGTCTTTGCACCAGTACCATACTCTCTTGATTACTTAGCTTTACAATAACTCCTGAAATCAGGTAATGTTAGTCCTTCAACTTTGTTTTCCTTTTTAAAGTTTGATATACAACTTTGACTATTCTAGGTCCTTTTCCTTTCCATATGAATTTAAAAATCAGATCATCAATGTCTATCAAAAAAAAAAATCTTGCTGAACTTTAAAAACAAAACAAAACAAAAAAGCCTGCAAGGGACTTCCCTGGTGGCGCAGTGGTTATGAATCCACCTGCCAATACAGGGGACATGGGTTTGAGCTCTGGTCCAGGAAGACCCCACGTGCCGTGGAGCAACAAGCCCGTGCATGACAACTACTGAGCCTGCACACCACAACTCCTGAGGCCATGCACTTAGAGCCTGTGCTCTGCAACAGGAGAAGCCACCACAGTGAAAAGCCCGTGCACCACAATGAAGAATAGCCCCCAATGACTGCAACTAGAGAGAGTCCACACACAACAACAAAGATCCAACACAGACAAAAATAAATTTTTTAAAAAAACCTGCAAACTTGAAGATAGATCAATAAGATAATACAACTCAAAGAACAGAGAGAAAAAAGAATGAAGATAAATGAACTGAGGGGTTGAGAATTGTGGGACATAATTAAGCACAGTAACATACACAAAATGGGAGTGTCAGAGAAAAAGGAGAGGAGCAAAATATTTTTAAAAATAATGCCTGAGAACATCCCAAATATGATGAAAAGCATTAACCTATGTATCCCAATTGTTCAACCAAGTCCAAGTACGATAAACATAGGAGAGCCATACACAGACTTAATGAAATATTGAAAGCTAAAGACAGAAAATCTTGAAGCACTAAAAGAAAAGTAATTTATCCATACAAGGGAACTCCAATAAGACATCACTTATATCTCATCAGAAACAATGGAAGCTCTATGGCAGTGGGATGACATATTCAAAGCGCTGAAAGACAAAACTGTCAACCAAAAGTTCTATATCAAACAAAACTATCTTTCAAAAATGAGGGCAAAATACAGATATTTCTCTCCCTCCACTCCCCCCCAAAAAATTCATTGCTTGGAAATCTGCCTTATAGGAAAAACTAAAAGAAAGTCTTCAAACTGAAGGAAGTAAACCCAGATTGCAATTTCTAATCACCATGATAAAACAGAAAGAACTGGTGAGATAAGTAATTATATGACAGTATAAATGCATATGTCTTCTTTCTTCTCTTAATAAATATAAAAAGCAAGCATGTAAAACATGTATATAGTTGTAGTCCTAGGCATTTGACATATAGTTATATTGGGTGGGGGGTGAGTGGGATGCAGCAGTGATACAGGCCCTGAGATGACAGGGTTCTACAATGGCTTAGGTCCAAGGGTCCAGGGTCCTGTAGCTGCACAGCCTGGAAATGGTGGGCCAAGATTCCAATTCTGGCCCTAGTGGAAGTCACAGAGCAGCAGCAGCGTGTGCCCAGCAATGGCCTGTTAAAGTCGCAAGTCAGGACCCATGGGCTGTGGTGCAGAGCCCCAGCAGTGTGGCCGTGGTAATTGTGGATCAGAACCCTGACCCAGGGTGAGGTACAAAGTAGCAGCATTTTAGCCCCAGCAATGATAGGTTAAAGCCATGACTTAGGCTCCAGGAATGGTGGGTAGCTCAGCAGCTCAGCCTAGGTAATGACCAGTCAAAGCCACAACTAGGAATACACAGTGAAGTCCAAGCAATAGCAGCATTGCCCCAGTTATGGCAAGACAAAGTACTGACTTAATACCTGTGGGCAGGGCACAGAGCAGGAGCTCCAGTCTCATAGATAGTCAGGCATTGTGGCAACTCAACCAGGGAAAGCAAAGTACCGGAGTGATGGGGCCCCAAGTGTCAGATCTCACCACAGCAACATTTCCAACCTCAGGAAAGACACAGAAGCAGGGACTCTGGGCAGCTCTGTGTCTGCTGTAATCAGTGTTAGTGAAGACTGTGGAAGTCCTCAGTAGCAAATACTGCAAACCTCTATGATGGTGAAGCTTGCTGGATTCTCCTGCTCTTCTTCTCCCCATGGGGTGAAATCCATTTGAAGGAATTTCTGTGGGTGCCAAGCTGCTCTGAACTGGAGGATGAGGTGATGGAGTTAAAATCTTTCCCAAGCTTTTTTACAGGGCCATCCTCAGTTTTTACAATCTGCAGGGTTTCTGCTGCTTCTTCATTGTAGTCCAGAGCTTTCCCAAAGTAATTTACATTGGTTTGTAGTTGCTCATTTATTTTTTTTGTTGCTTTTATGGGGGATACAAGTGTTGGGACCTCCTAATCCTCCATCCTGTTGATGTTACATTATCTCTAATTCTGTGTCAAGGGGACTGCAGACACAAGAGCCTCTCACTTGTCACTATTGTTACACTATTTTTCTCTCTTACATAATAACTGATTTGTGTGTGCAAAGTCATCGACTTTTAGATGGGTGATAGCACTGATGAAATAATTTTAAACACCAGCATAAACATGAAGTGTTCTACACTTTGCCCTTTCACTTGATTTCCACAGCTGTGACTATTCATATAATGTAGTTATTTGAGGCACAGGAGTTATAATTTAACATCCTGATTGATTTCTCCTTGGATATAAGCATGAGCAATGGCAAAAGGATAATGTAATTTTTGAAAAGTATTGCATATGAACAAGATGTCTGTGAAATGGCTCTCACTTCTGCTGCTACTACAGCTGACTTGCTACTTTAGCTCTGGAAGTTGTGGAAAGGTGCTGGCACGGCCAATGAAATACAGTCATTGGATGACTATGAAGACAATCCTGGATGAACTTGTCATGACGGGTCATAAGGTGACTGTTCTGACAACTTCAGCTTCCATTCTTATTGATCCCAACAAACCATCTGCTATTAAGTTTGAGACTTTACCTATGTCTTTAACTAAAGATAATTTGAAGCATAACATCAAGCATTTGGTAGAGAAATGGACATATCTGGCAAAAAATTCGTTGTGGACATATTTTTCATAATTGAGAAGTTTATTTTGGGAACTTTCTGATATGCTTATGAATATCTGTAAAGATGTTTCGAACAAGAAGCTGATGACAAAACTACATGAATCAAGGTTTGATGCTGTTCTTGCAGATGCTGTTGGACCCTGTGGTGAGCTGCTGGCTGAGGTACTTAAAGTACCTTTAGTATACAGTCTCCGCTCCTCTCCTGGCTATTCAGCTGAAAAGTATAGTGGAAGACTTCCACTCCCACCATCCTATGTACCTGCTACGTTTTCAGAATTAAGTGATCACGTGACATTCACGGAGAGGGTCAAAAATATGATATATGCACTTTATTTTGACTTTGGTTCCAGACATTTAATGAGAATAAATGGAATCAGTTTTACAGCGAAGTACTAGATAAGTTATATTTTTAGTTGGTAGCATGAAGTCCTAACTTTCCTAGTGCCTTGGAAGGTGAGTTTGTATAAAGTAACAGAATTTTGTCTCTTATAAGTGAAACAAGGAAATGAAAATATAAAATGATTTCATAAGTATTATCAAAATATTAAATTATAGGGTAAGGTATAACCCTGTTTCCCATTACTCATACAGATTCTCCTCCAGGAAGTCATAAAACACAAACTGAAGCACTTAGGACTTCTCCAAGCAATTATATATCTATATTACTAAACTTCTTTTTTTAACTTAAAAAAAATCACTAGAAACCTCATAAAATGCCTTGATAAATGAAGACAGGTAGATTGAAGAGTTACACACATATTTGTAGCACAAGTATTTAGGTAGCATTTGGAAATTGTTTCTACTTGTGTAGCTCGGTTTCTGTATTATATGATATGATATGATACAATATCAATATGATGTACACTATACACATACATATATATTTGCTTTATTAGAGAACACTTTCAAACATCTTTGGCTATATCATTCCAAGCTCCTTTCCAAAAACTACCTACTATATTCACATGGCAATACTCTCATTTGATCTAACTCTTGTTGTTTTAGTTTGTCCTTCCAGGAAGACCGACTACATTATTAAAGACAATGGGGAAAGCTGAAATGTGGCTCATTCGAACATACTCGGATTTTGAATTTCCTCTCCCACTGCTACCAAATTTTGAATTTGTTGGAGGCCTCCACTGCAAACCAGCCAAACCCCTGCCTAAGGTTACCTATTCTTATTTATTTTGTTTTGTTTACATTGCATTTTCAATAGGAATAATCCTGTGTTCTTTATTTAGAATATTTAATTACAGTGAGAGAGATGTGGGATGCTAGATAAAGTGACTTACCAATTAGAAACTCATATATTTATTTCTATACCAACGCAAGTATCAGAATTTCATTATCAATACAGAATAAAGTGGAAGACTTTGAGAATATGTCAGTAAAATTATTACTTTCATTATTCAATACATAATAAAGCATCAGACTTCATTAAAAGAATTATTATAAAAAGTTAAAAGAATAATTATAAAATGACTAGCATATTCCAGAAATAAGTGCTAATATGCAGAGAAATGGTGTAGACACAGTTTCTGCCATCTGACACTCTACCTGGAAAGATAGAATACCAGCAAGTAGTAAAAACTGTGTGAAATTTTTATAAGGAAAGACCACAGCACTAAGGAAACATCCAGCAGGAATCACAGATATTATCCCTGAGGCATTGATAATTAAGACAAGATCTGAAAGATGTTCAGGATAGGGCAGGGGTAGAAGAAGGCAGAAAAGAAAAGCAGGTAGAGTAGTAATGACAGTTTCCAAGAAGTCTAAGTTTAGCCTAAAAAGGAAGAGTTTGAGTAAAGAGGCAAATGATGTTGGAGAGGTAAGTTGGAGACAGATAATTATAAGGAGTTTGAAACATCTAGTAGGAGCATTAGGGAGAAAATTAAAAGGGTAAAGAAAGGGAGAGAGATGTTCACATAAAAAAAACACACACACACACAGGATGTAGTTACTGGGTTGGATTGTAGAGGGGCAAGAGTGAAAAGGGACACTATTTAGCTGGTTGTTGCAAGATACAGGCAACAATGATGGAAAACTAGAATACAATGTTCATAGTTATGTCCGCCTTAACTCTTATAATAATAGTACAAACCTCATATTGTTGTGGGGAAAAAATCTGTTAGTATGTATGAAACACCCAAAATGTCTCTGGAACATACTTAGTGATCCAGAAAAAATATTACCTATTGTCTTTATTGTTATTTTGTTGCTATTCCATACTGTCAATAACCCAATGTGTACCAGTCACTTGGATCTAATTTCTAAATTACTAGAAACTGGTTTTCCAATATATCAAGATTATATAATCTAGCAAAGTCCTAAAGAGTAGATATCCCAAGGAGTTGTTTAAAAGTAAATTTTAAGTTTTTAAATGAAAAATAAAGGGAATTAAAATTTTAATACATGTAATAAAATTTAAGTTAAATAAAATATAATTTAACACATTTAAGTTAAAGTTGTTTTAATTTTAAGAATTTTTTAAGGTTTGGCTATCTGATCAGCAAGATAAAATGATAAAATTCTTTTCTAAGGATTGAGATTCTTCACTGGCGCACTAGCCAAAAAGAACACCATTCTTGAACAATATAAATGTATGACCTAACAATTTGTGGAGCCAAATTCAGCATTTCCTAGCTTTCACATCAGCATTTAAACCATTCCTCATTTGAAATCCCAGGGTTTTACAACTTGCAGAATAAAAGAGATAACTTAGTTTATTAGGATAGGTGTTTTCTGCCTATACCAATCCTATAGAAAACCTCAGTAAAGCTCCCTTAGGGATGTACATCTCAACATCATAGCTGCCTAACAGAATGAGCACAGGGAAAATATACACTGCATATATAAGAACCATAAACTCTACACATACACTAAACAGCAAATAATTTGTACAACTTGAATCTGAAAACTTCCCGTAGTTTAAAAATACAAAGAATTCTCTTCAGTTTATAGGATGCTGTTCCTTATGAAGGAAAGCAAGAATCTAATCTATTTTAAATTGATATGATCTCTTTTAAATTGACTTAAGGGCTTCCCTAGTGGCACAGTGGTTAAGAATCTGCCTGCCAATGCAGGGGACATGGGTTCCAGCCCTGGTCTGGGAAGATCCCAGATGCCACGGAGCAGCTAAGCCCGTGCGCCACAACTACTGAGTCCGTGCTCTAGAGGCTGTGAGCCACAAGTACTGAAGCCCGCATGCCCAGAGCCCATGCTCCACAACAAGAGAAGCCACCACAATGAGAAGCCCGCGCACTGCAAAGAGTAGCCCCCACTCACCACAACTAGAGAAAGCCCGTGCACAGCAAGGAAGAACCAATGCAGCCAAAAATAAATAAAAGATGTGGTACATATATACAATGGAATATTACTCAGCCATAAAAAAGAACAAAATAATGTCATTTGCACCAACAAAGTCTGAGATAAGGTTAGTGAAAGTTCTATGCTATCTAACCCTAGTTTTTGAAAGATTTCCCTGTTCTCATTGCAGGAAAGTGATAGCGTTAGTAAGAAGGGAGGTTAAGAGGAGAGGAATAAGGACAAAGAAAAGATGAATAGTAGGATAATGATAATAATTAGTAATAGTAGCTTTTGCTATTAAGTTGCAAAATAAGATTTAAATCCATCAATGATTGTGAAGATTTCATTACATAAAGAAACTATTCCTTCAAGCTACTAACTTTTCCATTCATTATTAGGTTCTCAGAAAATTTCTGTAATTTTTAAAGAATTAAGACATTTGGCAAAATGCTTCAAGAATCTTAAAAATGCTATAGGCTTTGACTTCATAGTATACTCCTAAGAAACCATACAGAGAAAATTAATCAAGGTGTGCAAAAACAATATTTTGGGCAGTAATTCATAAAAGCCAACACTGGAAGTAATGTAAATATTCAAAATTAAGCAATAATTAAATAAATTATCATGTGCACATCACACCATTACAATCGTTTTCTCAAAGAATTTTTTATTACACTAAATCAACTATAGTATGAGGTTTAGTTGGAAAATAACAGCTATAATAAGATCACAGTTTTCTTGTAGGATAAAAAAATATAAATTAGAATTACAATTTTCAAAATATATGTCACAATGTATATTTAGTTATAGGAGTAATTAAGATTAGAATGAAAGCACGAATTTTAGCATAATGCCATCAAAGTCCATCCATGTTGTCAAAAAATGGCAGGATGTCCTTCTTTCTCATAGATGAATAACATTGAGTTCTGTGTGTGTGTGTGTGCATGTGTGTGTGTGTATTATATATATCACATCTTTATTATGTTGAAGTATGTTCCTTCTACACCCAGTATGTTGAGGGTTTTTATCAGGAAAGGATGTTGTATCTTGCCAAATGTTATTCTACATTTATTGAGATGATCAAGTTATTTTAAATTTCATTCTATTAATGCAATGTATTACACTTACTGATTTGGGTACTTTGAACCATCCTTGCATCCCAGGGATAAATCCCATTTGGTCATGGTATATAATCCTTTTAATATGTTATTGAATTTAACTTGCTGATATTTGGATGAGAATTTTTGCATTTATATTCATCCTGGATAATGGCTTATATTGAAGGTAATACTGGCCTTGTAGACGAGTTTGGAAGTGTTCCCTCTTTCCTCTTTAATTTTTTTGGAAGAGTTTTTGAAGAACTGGCATTAATTATTCTTTAAATATTTCATAGAATTTGTCAGTGAAGCCTTCTGGTCCTGGGGTTTTCTGTTGAGAGGTTTTTGAAACTGATTCAATACCTTTACTTATTATGACTGTCCAGATTTTCTAATTCTTCCTGATTCAGTCTTGATAGATTGCATGTTTCTAGGAATTTATTCATTCTTCTTGGTAATGTAATTTTTTGGCATATAATTCTACACAGTGGTCTCTTATGAGCGTATGTATTTCTGTAGCATCAGTTATAATGTCTCCACTTTCATTTCTAATTTTATTTATGTCTTCTTCCTTCCTTAGTTAATCTAGCTAAAGATTGTCATTTTGTTTATTTTTTTAAAAGACAGAGAAAGACAAATACTAGATGATATCCATTTTATGTGGAATATAAAAAAGTCAAACTTGTAAAAACAGAGAGTAATATGGTGGTTACCAGGAGCTGAGGGGTAGGAGAATAGGAGAGATGTCTTTTAAGGGTACAGATCTGCATCTCATAGAAAAATAAGTCCTAGAGATCTAAGGTATAGTACAGTGAATATGGACAACCATATTATATTATAATCATCAAACTTGCTAAGAGACTACATCTTAATTATTCCAACCACAAAAAGAAATAATTATGTGACATGATAGAGGTGTGAACTATCATGAAAAATGGCTATCCTATTACAATATATTGAATATAAATGTATCAAATCAATACATTATACAACTTAAATTACATAATGTTTTATGTCAAATATATTTCATCTTCAAAATGTACATATCTCAATTTAAAAACACCTTATTGGTAATAAATACTAATCATCTTGAGCCTTCAGTGAGTCATAATCTTTTTGCAAGAGTAACATCAAAGATCACTGATCAGAGGAAGATCAAATGGTGGTGGAGCAAGATGATGTGGAGCTCACCTCCCCCAACACATCAAAAATACATCTACAGGTGGAACAATTCTCATGGAAAACTAACTGGAAAGTGGCAGAACTCCTACAAACCAAGGCTGTAAGTAAGATACACACATAATTGAGTAGGACAAGAAAAAAAGCACCGGTCTGGGACCAATACCCCTGGGAGGGTACTAAGAGGAAAAGAGAGATTGCACAGATGGACACTCACCCTGGGAAGTGAGTGGGTCAAGTCACAGACTGGGCATCCCAGTTCTAGGGTCCTACAGGAAGGAGACAAGTTCCCTTGGCTGCTTGGAGAACTGCTGGGACAGATAGAAAGTCTGGAGAAGCCTGGTCTCCACTCGTGTGGAATGCAAGGGTGCTGGCTTGCCAACAGACAGGGCGGAGAGAGGTCAGCCCTAGTGGTTGCTGCCTCACTGGGCTCCCCAGTCCAAGCCAAGCAAACACTCCTACCTCACCCACTCCACACCACAGCTTGGCCCTGGATCTAGGGAGATTTCCCACCAACTGGGAAAAGATTCAATCTTGGGATGCAGAGGTGACCTGGGGCCTGGGGTGTTTACAGGTGGGATGGTGGAGGCCGTTGTTAGTGCTTACTAAGACAGCACCCCATAAGCAGCCCAGACTTCTGACGGCAGCACAGCTGCTTGAACTCCTGTGACCACAAGTATGCAATCCCAGATGAGCAAATGCTCCAGCCCTGCCCACTTGATGCCACAACCTATCACTAGATCTGGAGTGACCACAACAGGGGAAGAGATGTGAATGTGAGCTGTGTCTGAGGTAGCCACAGATGCCTACACAACCAGTGCATCAGACCACTGTAAGCACAGGAGCCCCACTTGCTTCAGTACTCCCCTGCTTTGGGGAAAAGACCCCAGTGCAGGGAGGAGGAAAAACACACACTTAAATGGAACACACAACCAGCTCGAGCCAGATTCTCAACCTTCTGCTCCAGCACCTTGGGAGGAGACTCCACCTGTGCAAGGGTAGAGATGGCCACTAAGCAGAGTGGAAGTTCCACCTCACACCCTGCACAGGCTCAGGCTTCTCCATCACCAGCCACAACCCCTACACCAAGGTGATAGCTACCAGCACACCCTAAGGAAATGTGTGACTGGAATCCACATCAAACACAGCCCTCCCACCAAAGGCACACAAGGTCTACATAAGGATGCTTCCACATAAGAACACCACTTCAGGACCACAAAAGGTAACTGTTTCACCTATATTCACAGAGACAGAGCAAGTAAAATGAAAAGGCAGAGAACTACTCTCAATTGAAAGAGCAAGACAAAACCCCTGAAAAAAAATAATGAAACAGAGATAATCAGTCTACCAGACAATGAATTCAAACTGTTGATAATAAAAATGCTAACTGAATTAGGAAAGAGAATTCATCTAAGCACAGATCATTTTAACAGGGAACTAGAAAATATAAAGAAGACACAAACAAAAACAGATAATTCAATATCTGAGATAAAAAGCACTCTAGAAGAAATGAATAGAATACTAAATGACACAGAAGAATGCATAAGTAATCTAGAAAATAGAATGAAAATCACCCAATCAGAACAAAAGACAAATAAAAATAAAGTAACATATGAGATCTTTGGGATAACATAAAACATGCCAACATTTGCATTTTAGGGGTTCCAGAAGATGAAAGAGAGAAAAAAGTTATCGAGATGTATCTGAAGAAATTATGGCTGAAAAATTCCCAAATCTAAAGAAGGAAACAGACATCCAGGTATAGGAAACACAGAGGATCTGAAACAACATGAACTCAGACAGACCCAGAATAAGACATATCATAATTAATGACAAGAGTTAAAAATAAAGAGAGAATTCTAAAGACAGCAAGAGAAAGACAAGGAGTCATATACAAAAGGATCACTATAAGGCTATTATCTGATTTCTCTGCAGAAACTTTCAGGCCAGAAGGGGGGCAGCATGATCTATTCAAATTCCTGAAAGGGAAAAATTTGCAACCTAGGATACTCTACCCAGCAAGACTGTCATTTAAAATAGGAGAGATAAAGAACTTCTCAGACAAGCAATAACTAAAAAAATTTGGCAATAATAAACATACCCAAAAAGAAATGTTGATGGGTCTTCTCTAAATGAAAAAGAAGTAAGAATCTATAGGAAAGGGATAATCACAGTAGAAACAGCAAATATAAAGTAAGGATTGAAGATCACTTTTTTTCCTGAAGAGCACTTAAATAAGCCAGTACATAGATTAAAAGACAAAAAAATATTGCAAAAGCAAATATAACTACCATAAACAGTAAAGGGATAAGCATGAAGATGTAAAATATAATATCAAAAACACAAAATATGAGGGAGAGGAATAAAAAATTAATATCTCTTAGAATGTGTTTAAACTTAAATGACTATTAGTTTAAAGAAAGTAGATATAATTATGGGTTAACATATATGAACCCCATGATAACCACAAATCAAAAATGTACAATAGATACACAAAAATCAAAAAGATGGATCCCAAGCATACTATGAAATAAAATCATCAAACCACAACAGAAAAACAAAAAGAAGAAATGAACAGAAAAAAACTACAAAAACAACTGGAAAACAGTTTTAGAATGGCAATAAGTCATTAATAACTACTAAAAATTCCTTTACATGTTAATGGACTAAATGCTCCAACCAAAAGACACAGGGCAGCTGACTGGATAAAAAAGAACAAGAGGGCTTCGCTGGTGGCGCAGTGGTTGAGAGTCCGCCTGCTGATGCAGGGGACATGGGTTCATGCCCCGGTCTGGGAAGATCCCACATGCTGCAGAGTGGCTGGGCCCATGAGCCATGGCCACTGAGCCTGCGCGTCCGGAGCCTATGCTCTGCAACGGAAGAGGCCACAACAGTGAGAGGCCCGTGTACCGCCAAAAAAAAAAAAGAACAAGAGCCTTCAGTATGG